GTCTGCAAACCTGGTTAAATATGAAGGTGACTTTAATTTGAAGACGGTGATGAATTCTAACCTTGAACATGAGTAAATCTGCAAACACAGGAAGTGAAACCACCGAGCCAAGGTCTGTTAATTAAAGAAGCAGTGAGACTCTACAGAACATGGACCTGCAGTCGGAGGTCCGGTACGGCCTGTAACGCCTGGTGCCCCGTAGGTAAATATCACCGACATAAGTGCTACTGTTAACCTTCGGCTGATGCTGCAGTTATCAGCTTGATACGCAGAAATCTTTAATAATCTGACAGCAAGAACTGAATGAGCCGTTTAGAGACAGACTGAAGGTTTAGAACTGAACAACGAAAAAAAAACATTTAAATTAAAAATAAAATACTTGTGAACAGGAGGTGGGACTGCTGAGTGCTGAACGACTTGGCTAACATTTGTTGAATAAACTGGTATTGGTTAAAATTGAAACAAAATATAAATTGAGCAAGAAAATAACTAAAGGAGCACGACATAAGCTAAAAAAAGCAATAGTAGTGGCAATGTGCAAGATATTATCTAAAAGCTAAAAGGAGCCTGATGGCAGCTAAAGGCTAAAATGAGCAAGACAAAAGTGAAAGGCTAAAATGATCCAGACAGTAGATAAATGCTAACATGAGCCCGATGGTAGCTAAAGGCTAAAATGAATAAGACGGTAGCTAAAAGCTAACTTGGCACGATAAAAATAAACTGAATTGAATTAACATGAGCCAGACGGTAGCTAAACAAGCAAGACCATCAGAAGGTGAAATGAGCAGGATATTAGCTTCAGGCTTAAAGGAGCAAGACATTAGCTAAAAAAAAAAGGTTCAAGAGAATAAAAGTTAAAAAAAAGTGACACAGTAGCTAAAGGCAAAAGAAATGAGTTGCTAAATGAGCATAAGAGTTAAACGCTTAAAAAAAGACAGTAGCTAAAGGCTAAAACAAGTCAGTAGCTAAAAGCTAAAATGAGCCAAACTGTCGCTAAAAGGAGCATTAGAAGAGAAAAAAAACAAGTTTGCTAAAGTTGATTTCTGAGAACAGAGTCCTTGAATTAACTGTAGGAGCACATTTCTTTGAAGAGTCCTGTGTAAAGGTAGATAACTTAAAAAGAATAAAAGTTATAAATAGCTAAATCATTGCAGATAATTCAGCCGAGATAAACATTTTAAATATGAGCAGTTAAATTAGCACAAAGTTTGATGCAAAAAGCGTACAGAAGAATTTCTACAAGCAGCGAAACTCGTCAAAACAAATGATCCAATTCATTTTGAGGCCTTTATAAAAAGCTCGTCCTCTGAGAAAAGACAGTTCGTGGAGACTGGGTGACAAGCCGACAGATGCATCCTGGGAAACATCACCCCTGGGTTTATCTTGAAGAGGCAGAGCATAGATGAAGCCACAAAGGCTGAAGGAAGGGAGAAGCATGAGGTTCCTACTCCACATAAACTGTCGAGTTCTGCAAATTACTCTGGAAAATTAAAAAAATGAACCCGCTATCCAACGTTTAGCTTAGGTTTTTGATTTATTCAACTGGCACAGCTGCTAGAGAAAAGTTGAGAAATGAGCAAGTCTGTCCAAACTGGTTTCCTCTGCACAAACGCAGGAAGCAAACGGACGCCGTTTGTCCGAGGTTAAGAAAACAGGAAGACGCGGATAAATACGAGCGGATTCGTGGTGCATCCAGAGCCTGGAAGAGGCACACACGCCCGACCCGTTTAAAAACCAGTAGCTGCTGAAAACAACAGCACCAGCTCGGTTGGATACTTTAACCCCCGCACCGTCGCTGACTCAGCAGCTAAATCAGAGAAAAGGTTGCACTTTTGCTAAACAGCATCGGCAAGTTCTAATTTTATCAGAATATCAAATTCTCACCCATCGGCGTACGAAAGCTTTGACATGAAACACAAAGTCTAAACCCATCGATAAAATCTTACAGGACAGCGGAATAAAAACAGCTGGATCAGTTCTGTAAGCTTTAGCTGTTTCTTTGCTCAAACACATCTGCTATTTAAGGGTTTCTTAATAAAGTATTGTCAAAATAATAATAATGTCATAACTTATATAATGATATTATAAACTTATCTGCTTCAACACACCTGATTCTACCCGACAGCTCAGCTTCTGCTGATGAGGCACTTTAATTATCTGAAGCAGGTGTGTTTTAAAACCTGCCGTTTCACCAACTTGGCCTCGCCCCTGACAATAACGGGTGCAAACAGCGCTGACAAATATGACAAGATTAATTAAATTCTGAATGTTTGCTGAAGGAGGTACACCTAAACAGATTTCCTTTGAGGTTTAGTCCTGCAGAAACTTCAGTTGGGGGACGGTGCTCGTGTTGTTCATTCTTAACGGACAGAAATAAAACCTAAAATACTGAAATATGGGCTAACCGTGAAGCTCAGACAGATCGACGAGCAAAGGTCAGCATGTAACCTTGTGCAGCTGGCAGAAACAAAACAGCCACTTCACATGATAGAGACGACGCGGCTGCTGGAAGCAGCGGTTTTTGTTTTTTATTTGTGAGATCAGGCTTGCAGTTTCAAGATTGCAGCGTGATTGTAGTGTTGCGTGACGAGACACGCCCGTCGTGTCTGAAACGTTAACGCTCCTCATTTACAGCAATTTAAAAGACGCGGGATTAGAAGTTGCATGAGGATTTTATGAAGAACTTCTAACCTGGTTTTGATTTTAGTTTGAATTATTGCCAAGTTTTCCACCTCAAAATGACTTTCCTTTGATAAAAGTCACATTTTCGAGGTTTGCTTAAAATAAAAATTGCTTTCTTGGTTTCCATCCCCTGAAAGGAGTTAAAAGCCAAGATTAACTAAAATTATACAAAACGGTTTGTTCTTTCTTGACAGAACACACCTCAAAGTTTTAAAGTGCTTGTGTGAGCACTTGGTGCTCAGAGACGGTGTCGTGAACGGCTCTCAGCTGCTTCTTCTTTCGGCTGCTCCCTTCTTCGGGAACTAACTCGCATGAAGACTTGGCATTTGTTTTTACGCTCGATGCCCTTCCCGACACATCCACAGACCCACCGAGCTACCACAGCCCTCTGTGTGGAGCAGAGGGCGGGGTTAAGGGCCTTGCTCAAGGGCTCAGTGTGGGGAAAATGAGGGTGGAGGCAGGTGTGGGTGCGTCACCTTTTTGATGTTGGTCCAGGGGTCGAACAGACGACCTTTCAATCACAGGTTCGGCTTCTCTAACCTCTGTGCCACCACTCCTCTTGAACGACTCTCAGCTACTACCACACTAAATTCTAGGTATGGTTATTGGCACAGCGCCTGCCGCCCTGCTTATCCGTGAAGCAATAAGGGGCAACAAACCCTGAAGATACAACTGCTTTTCTTTGACGTAAAAATATTTTTTGAGAGAACAGTGGCAAAGTAAACTGGGACGAGTTTTAAAAAGTAACAAAGAAGCAACCATAAGCGTTTTAGAAACAACACCTGTTCAGGAAAATGTTTTTATAATTTTCTGCATGTCTGTCTGACAGAAGGAAATAAAAAAAAAAAAAAAAAGTTTCTGCTGAGTCATGAAGAGCTGGTCTAAAATGTTGAAGCCTGATCCGGAAGTCCAGGAGGTTCTACGGTTCATTTTATTCTTACAATCCAACAGAATCTGCTCTGGTTCTGTTGGTTTAGTTTTGTACTTTTTCACATTAATTAATTTTACATTCCTTCAGCCGTTCGTATCAAACGTTCGGCTCATTCATTTATACTCTTTACAATATTACACTTTAACTTGCTACTTTTAAGTTTTACCTACTAGTTTGATATTTTTAGATTCTAGCTACTGCTGCACTAACGTTAACCTTTGACCTACTTTTTTTATTTTTAGCTTTTAGCTATCGTTTGGCTACATGTAGTTTTTTAGCTAGCCCTCTTTTGTGTTAAAATTTCAAACTTTTAATTGATTTAGCTTATTTTAGCTTTTTGCCACATTTTCAATTTTATTTTTTAGTAACCGTTCTGTTACTTTTAGTCTTTCGCTGAAGTTTTGCCAAGTTAAGTTTTTAGCTAGTGTAGTTAAAGCTACATTTCGCATAATCTTAGCTTTAAGCTTTCTTTTCTCCCTTTTTTTTTGCTAGTTTTAGCTATGATTTTGCTGATCCTAAATTTTGCTAGTTTTATCAATTTTAACATTAAGCTGTTGTGATATTTGTTTAATACTGAGTTTTACTTTTAGCTACTCCTGCTATTTTAGTCTAACAGGTTTTTTTTTTCTGAGCTTAGCTTTAGCAACTATTTTTGCTCATTTTAGCTTGTGGCTATAGTTTAAGTAATGTTTGCTTTTTGCTACAACTTTCTCATTTTAGCTATGAGATACCATTTTGGCTACTCTTATCTTTTAGCTATTGTTGTACTTATCTTCACATTTAACCTTTCCTTTGGTTTTACCAATTGTAGGACTTTGTTACGGTCTTACCAATTTAAACTTTTAGCTACTGTTTTGCTCATTTTAGCTCGTCCTGTCCTGCTTATTTTAATGTTACCATTGTTAGTTGGGCTCCTTCAGCACGATGCCGACACTGTTTTAGCAGAAAATCCTAATTTTTCTAGTAAAGTTAAGTTTTGTTGACTCAAAGCTTTTTAAATGTCCTCGTGGGACAAACGCTAACGAAGCAGGAGCCTGAGAGACAAATCTTTACAATGCTGCCTGTTGACACAGCATGGGGCTGGTCTTACCCTGGGGGGAGGCAAATCCTCTCAAAGTGGAGCAGCTGAAGCAAGATGTAAACCACAGCTGCATGAGGAAGAGCTACAAGTTTTAATTCAAGCCCTGATCCAAATCCCTGATGTTCCAGTTTAGGAACCATAGCTGCCTGGAAGAGGACCTGGGAGGTCTCTTTGGGGATGAAAGCAGATGTTTATTGGGGGGAGGGGGTTACTAACTGGGCCTAAAGGGAGGTGTAAACCAGTTTTAAACAGATCAGCTCATCTACACACAAGAGGGCTGGTGTGACCCAGAAATGAGGCACCTACCTTCTGCGATCAGCTCCTCCACGGTGACCTGGTACCGGCCCACTGCGAACACCTTCCCGTAGTAACTGCTGACTCCCGAGCTCGAACTGGTACCGGACGCCCCACCGAGTCCTCCACTCTCGGACTTGGGCATCCTAGAAAACTTCTTCATCCTTCAGGTTATTTCCACACCACTTTTAACAGTCCCCGAACTAGTGGTGGACTAACCACGCTGCTGGTTTAGCTCAGTGTCCCGACTATCTTTTCTGGAGCCCTTTCTTCTGCTGCATGCTCCGCGTCCGGTTCTACTGGGGAGAACTCCTCATTTGGGTTTAATTAATACGACAGAGCCATGGTGGGGTGGTGCAAACCACGTCGGTGTCTCCTCTTTGACAGCATCCAGACCAGTCGCGTCAACAAGCTGGCTCCGTTAGCCGCTGTTAGCATACATGTCGGGACGCTCCGCCAGAAATAATAAAAACAATAACACGAACAAACAACGCAGCCGGCCCAGGCGTGAGAAACACCTCCTCCGGTGGAAACAACCCCTCTGGATCGTGTCCACCACAGAAGTCCCAGCAGCGTTCGCTTTGCGACACCCCGTCTTGCTCGCTCCACTCGCGGACAGTTAGCTCGTTAGCTGCTGCGCTAGTTCCTCCAAAAGAGACGAGCCGCCCCGCGAATGCAGGTGGGCTCAAAACTGGATAAAAAAATTAAAAAATTAAAGTACTAGTTGAGATATAAATAAGAGTGCGCGACTTGCCACAATCTGCCAAGTCGGTTCTGTTTGATAAACCACGGCTGCTCGTTTTCTTACTGTTTTTCTATCCGTTTCGCCGCCGTTAAACTTCTTTCTCTAACCGCAGGCTTCAAAATAAGTGGGTGGTTTATTTACCCAATGAGAGTGACAACCAAACCCGACGTGGCTCCGCCCACTCGTATTGTTTTGATTGGTGTACGTATATGATGTACGGAAGCCGTTTAATGCCAAGCAGACGGACAAAAAAAAAATAATAATAATGAATGAGGTGAGTCAGGATGACATTACTTAAGGAATATGCATATCGCCGGCTGCCTTTCATGCCAGTTTAATAAGAATACGATTACCACTGAAAAAAGACAGTTGAAGCAGTTTTGGCTAAACCTTGAAAATAAAGTGTGATGTCGTTCAATGCTGATGTCTCACATGAGTCTGCTCTTACGTGTAGTGAATTGTGTTACACTCTATTCTTTTTAAAAAATAGTTTTTTTGTTGTTATCTCTTGCCTTTGTCTTATAATTTTTGTTGTCGTGTAGCACTTTGGTCACAATTCTTTTTTTTTTTTATGAGCTTCATAAATAAATTGACTCTGACTGACACTCAGCCACTACCAAATCAAAGTTTAGCTCAGAATATGTAAAATTCAATCGTGTATAGCCATTTTTTTTTTATGTTGGATAAGGTCAATTAGCTATGACAGCCATCTTTTATTGGGGCAACTTTAAAAGTTAATTTGTTGTTAATATGCAGCCACTTATTACGATCTGAATATTTTATAAAAAATAACCTTCTATGGTTGACGAGATATTTTGCTAACATAATTCCAAGTAGTTAATGGCAACATTTAAAAAAATATATATATATTGTGCAGTCTGTTAGTGCTTACATTTCTGTTGAAGATCAGTGTCAGCCTCTATCACATCAAATTTTACTTCAGCATATGAAAAATGAACCCACTTTTTGCCTTTTTTGTGTTTTTGGGGCAGCGGTGCCCATTTTGAAAGGGGCTGACTTCATATATATATATATATATATAAATACATATATATATATATATATATATAAATACATATATATATATAAATACATATATATATATATAAATACATATATATATATATAAATACATATATATATATGTATATATATACACACACCTATATATACATATATATACACATATATACACATACATATATACACATATATATACACATATATATACATACATATATACACATATATATATACATATATACACGTATATATGTATATACATATATACATATATACATATATATACATATATATACATATATATATACATATATATATATATATATATATATATATATATATATATATACATATATATATATACACTTCTTTTTTGTGGTGGGTGATAATCATTAATTCAGAGCTCATCTAGATAAGCTAAAACACTAAATTTTAACTAAATGTTGTACTATGAACAATTAGCTTTAGTTATTGTCATTTCTGTTTTGATTTTTAAGGTCAGTTGGTTGTGGCAGCCATGTTGAAATGAACGACACCAAAAGTGAATCATAACTTTTAGCAGCTGGCAAAAATTATTGAATCAGAGCTTATTTAGGTAAGCTACTAACACATCAAATTTTAGCAGCTTATCTGTAAAAATGAACTCAGATTTGACATTTTTTGTGTATTGGTGTGTGTGTGTTGGGGGGGCGGGGGGTTAGCTGTGGTGCCCATCTTCAATTGGGCTGACGCCAAGAGCCCATTTAGGTAATCAACAGGAGAGGGGTTGAGTTACATCAAAACAGGTCCATGGACAAAGTTTAGATCATCTAAATCATAAGACCAAAGTTCATGCTCAGTAATCCAGGTACAAATCCAACAATGTTCAGTCAGGTCATCTGGACGGTTTCTTTTTTTGATGAGACGTTTTGTCCTTCATCCAAAGGACTTCTTCATTCTTGAACATGACCTTACTGAACATTGTTGGATTTGTACCTGGATTATTGAGCATGAACTTTGGTGTTTTGAACCATTTTGGCATGGCTGCCTTCAAGGAGTTGACGGGGGATAGGAAGGGCCCCAGAAACCATCTTATCACCAGCAAACTGGTTTTTCCCACTATGGGAGTTGGAGCTTGTGGGACTCCAGTTTGTTTGTGGATCCTCAGACAAAAGAAGTCCTTTGGATGAAAGACGAAACGTCTCAGCAAAGAAGAAACCATCCTAACGACCTGACTGAGATAAATCATAAGACTTTTATTTTTGCACTAAACTTTTATTTATTTATTTATATTTTCAATGTTTTGGTAGCAACAGGCTTCTATAAAAAGCGCCCAGACAATACTCATCTCTGACTGGGCAGCACAAATGACATAAGCAGTTTGGTTGAAGGAGAAGAGCACAAAACAGACTGGAAAGAATGCAGTGCATGGAGAAATAAACCTCAGGCTACTCTGAAGGAATGCGTCGTCCTGGTTCTTTAACATGCTGCTCATTCTTTACAACGTAAACCTCTTATCTGCATCCGTGTCAATTAGTGCCATTTATTTAAAGGTTTGCCTCTTCCTAAATGTGCAAAAATGCATCTTTTTGCACTCAGTTTAATGAGGGGAGGGGAGAAAATGACAATTTTTAACTAAACTGTGCCGATAAAGCGGTATGGCAGCTGCGAACTGCAGGATTTTCGAACAAAGTGGGTTCCTCTACCGTCTAACTCATACATCACAAAAGCAACTTTAGCTTCCTGTAAATCAGTTGTTAAATAAGTGCATCTAATGATAAGTAGGTTCAATTCGCATATTCGGGTCAGTGGTTTTAGGGGCAGCATGAGGATAAGATGGGGATTATATGAGCGGCGTGTGATCACATGACTGAATAAACCCCCATGTCATGACACATCCTGTTGCAGGAGGTGGAGATCTTCCTTCTTTGAAACATTATATTGGTGATTGTCTGTGAAGTGTGTGCTGCCACCTACTGCTGTTTGAAGACTAGGATCCTCCGTATGAGGCTTCAGGCTGAAACTGACCCAGCTCCTGAAAGTTAAGGAGAAAACATTCACAAATACAGTACTATACTGAATATTTATACTTTGGATTTCCATTCCTGACCTAATGCTAAATAAACTTCTGTTTTAAAATATGTTTTTTTTTTTTAAATGGGCAAAATATACTAAAAAAAGTGACCTTCAGTCAAATTAAATCTGGTTCCTAGTGCTGTCGTACATGAACAGAAACATTTTTAAAAACACTTTAAAAAATGACCTAATCTAACACGTCTGATGTCAAAATGTAAAGTTTTTATACTGAAATTAAGTTCAAGATTCAATCGACACATTTGTGTTTGTGCTCTCAGAACCAGACTAGGAATACAAACTTTAAAAAAAAAAAAAACTTACATTGTATGTTGCATCTAGTGGCGACCATCTTGAATGGAGTGGACTCCCAAAGTTCAACCAATGATAACTTTGAGTTTTATCAACTCTCCATGTTACAATCAGTAAAAAAATTAAAAAAATAAAATTGGGCCCGTTACAATTCCACAATGCATCCCTTTGAATGATCGTGCTTTAATTGTTGAGTAAGAGTCAAACTCTTTTTTTAGCAAACTATTTCAAAGGAAACATCTTTTTGCCATTTTGCTCCACAAAAAGAGTTTGAAAACATTACCTGGCCCTTTGAGTTTTCTCTGCGGGGTGGCTGGCATCACTCGGGTGAGAAGTTCAGTTCTCCAGGAGAGACTCAAAGTAGAACCGTTGCTCCTCCACATCCAGCGGAGCCAGTTGAAGCGGTTCAGGCGTTTGGTAAGGATGCTCCCTGGACGCCTATCTAGGGAGGTTTTCTGGACATTTCCAACTGGGATGAGACCCAGGATACGCTCAGACTTAAGGTTTACTTATGGTTTCTAGAGCTTCTAAAAGTAAAATGGTATGCAGAGCTATCAGTTATTAGGCTCCTCTTGGAGTCAGCCTCCCCACTATCACAGACATCTACGCCTCTAGAAGAGAGCCACCTGCATCATGAAGGACCCCACTCACCCAGCACACACACATTTTGCCCCGCTCCCCTCAGGAAGGAGGTTAAGGAGCATTAAGTGTCGAACCACTAGACTGAGGAACAGCTTCTACTCTGAGGCTGTTAGACTCATGAATATCAAACCAGGATAATCATAGTGAAAAAAAATCACTGTAATGCCACTTCATTGCTGATATGTGCTGCTGCTGATCTCATGCTGCTGATTTATTTCATGCTGCTGTGTTCATTCATACTCATCTGCTCACACAGACTCATATTCGAGCTGCTGTTGTTCGGCATATTGTTTTTGTACTACTAGTGCTTAGCATATTGTTAGTTTAGTGTATTTCTTAATTCATATCTTATAGCTTATTACTGTTTTTCTTTACAATTTATACACTGCCTGACCAAAAAAAGTCACCACCTGGATTTAACTAAGCAAATAGGTACGAGCCTCCTATTGGATAATAACTGCATGGGTGATTATATTTCAGCTGGCAACAAGTTATTTAACCCCAACTGGTGCAATGAGTTGCTTCTCTTTTCTTAAACAACCATGTGGAAAGACGCATGGCGTGGTCGTGGAAAAGATGTCAGTCTGTTTGAGAAGGGTCAAATCAATGGCATCAAGCAGAGAAAACATCTAAGGAGATTGTAGAAACTACTAAAATTGGTTTAAGAACTGTCCCAACGCATTGTTAAAAACTGGAAGGATAGTGGGGACCCATCGTCTTCGAGGAAGAAATGTGGCCGGAAAAAAATCCTGAATGATCGTGATCGGCAATCACTTAAACGTTTGGTGAAATCAAATGGAAAAAAAAACAACAGTAGCACTCAGGGCTGTGTTTAATAGTGAAAGTAAGAACATTTCCACACACACAATGCAAAGGGAACTCAAGGGATTGGGACTGAACAGCTGTGTAACCTTAAGAAAACCACTAATCAGTGAGGCTAACCAGAAAAAAAAGGCTTCAATTTGCTAGGGAGCGTAAAGATTGGACTCTGGAGCAATGGAAGAAGGT